TTTGTGCAATGCGCCAGTGTATGTAAATGTAGAGGTATGTGTGTAGTGTGGCAGTATGTGTGTGGAATTGATGATGTATCAGTGAATATTGACAGTGAGTAAGGGGTTATATTTGTATAATGCCCTTTCCTGTACTGTAGCATGTGATTCTCCCCAGCCTGGTTCTTGTGGCCAAGGAGAATTTGCCAGGTTTACCCAAATCAGAAATGAAGTCTACGTTAAAGATGTTTTCGCTTATCCTTAACCTGAACCAATTTGAGCTTTGTAACTTTGTTACAATTTGTAGTAACTTTACATCTGACTTTTCTTTACTAAATTATTGACTTCAATACATTTCTCCAACATGGCTTTTTCGCCCAGAATTGTGCACGCGTATCGCAACATTCGTGTAATTCAGCAATTTGCCTCTGAAACTATCTGTTTCTAAAGCTACATAAATAACTATTTACTCCCTCATAGTGTTTGTAGTAAATGTTTAACATGAAAACAATATATGTTTTTTTTTAATGTCATAAAGTGACATTTAAAAAGCTCGCAATGTATGATTGTCTATAATTTATTGCAAATGACTCAAGTTGATTTAGAGAATTTTGGTATTTTCTAAAATTGAACTGTTATCACAGCCAATGTGCCAAGTGTCAATCTTATCACATTTCACAGAGACCAAGAAAATGAATGTAATTGCTTCCTCCCTATGAAATAAGATTCCTAATTGGCTTCCTATAACAAAGCAGCTGGATTGTGTTTACCATTTCTAAAAGAAAATAATTTTTGCATGTCAGTCAAGCACGGAAACATGGAATTATCTCTCTCAAGAACTATTTGGACACTCTTTATAAATTAAAGTATTTAATATTTCCATCATTCAAAGCTATGTAAATCAGTTTGAATGAATTCATACAAGCTTTCACAAAGCCATTCTTCTTATTAAACATAGTATTTTGTCAGTACTATTGTTAATGTTGCACAAATTATAAGTGAAACAATATACTTAGAATTTTTGTTACCCCAACCAAGATAATTTTTATTGATATAAGGGGCATATGCAGTGTGCAGTGGGAATACAGCTTTAAGGGCAGTTTAGACGTGACCAATTAGTACAGTAATTTCAATTCCCCCTTTAGATTTCTGGTTCCCATATGGAAAAAGTCTAAGCTCACAGTTTAGTCTGGTTTTCAAAAGTCTGGACTGTAAAAGTCAAATACCCTGATAAATTCACATTTGTAAGCTATGCGATCTTCAAATTAAAAAATTTATTTTCCCTTGTTTATTTAGTCTACATTTTAATTTAGATAATTTAAACTATATATATATATTTATATATAGTTAATAGAGAAAAGCAGGCTGCACTCACGGACTTAAGAATTCAAGTGGTGTTTATTCCATCAAAAAGTAGAAGACAATCAACGTTTCGGTCTACACAGGGACCTTCCTCAGGATCAAGTGATCACTTGATCCTGAGGAAGGTCCCTGTGTGGACCGAAACATTGATTGTCTTCTACTTTTTGATGGAATAAACACCACTTGAATTCTTAAGTCCGTGAGTGCAGCCTGCTTTTCTCTATTAACTACATTTGACAACCCTAAAAGACTGGCACCCGGTGAGCCTCATAAGGCACAACTTAATACACCAAGCGTGAGTGCAAGGAACTTTTGTATCTTATATATATTTATATTTATATATATATATATATATATATATACACTTCTCTGTTGGTTGCTTGTTTGCAAGTTAGAGAAACATTAGTCTAACAGGAATACAAATATATATTCTAACACTATAGTGTTACAGTAACTATTTAGATGTTCGGCCCCCTATGTGCAATGAAAGAAAAAGCATTTACTAGCCTTTCTTGCCATGAGGTGCCAGCCTCTCTGTGGTTGTCCCACCTCCATGGTTTAATCATATGGAAGCACTGGGAAGCTAGTGTGCATGACTGGCACATTGCAAGTCAATGCATCTCTATAGGGAAAATGCAGTGTGTAGTCTCTGAACATCACGGTCACGGTGATCTCTTGGAATTTGCTCCTGTTTTGGATAGTTTGTGCTTTATACACAAACATGTTGGTAAGTTTTTTTCTGAATGATTGGTACACTCTTTTTTGGCATGCCTTGCACTTTGAAATACTTGCAAATATTGCATAGACTTGTGTAATAAGTGGGGGGATGTGATTAACAGCCAAACTGTATGCCAATGAAGTGTTATTGTGTTCTAATACAGGGATTCAAGCCCCCATTCTACCCTTAGGCAATAATGGAGTCCTCTGTGAAGCACATGGCCTTTCACCAGGCAAAATCAGTTGGGTTGTTGATAAACTCCTCCTCCATTCCCTTCCAATGCAATCCCCCTTCCCCCAGGAGGCACTCTGGTTCTGTTACATCCTAAGGGATTGACTAAGGGAGGTGTGTCCAGCAGAAGGAGGGGCTAACCTGTTTAAAGCCTTGTGAATAGCACATTTTCTCTCTCTTTGAATTACCTCTCTTCACCTTCTCTCCTCTCTCCCCTCTCCCCACTATACACACCCTCTCTCTCTTACTCTCAGCTGCTGATCAATGGAGTGGTAACTGTATCAGGTGTCTATGCCTGTTTTACTATGATAATTTAGCCTACTTTCCATTCAGTCAATGATTAGTTTTAGTAGCAACATATACTAGCCTATTTCAAATGTATATGTATTGTTTATTTGTTTGATTAAGCCTTTATTAATAAATATTATTGGATTGCCGAAAGCAAGGAGTGTGGACTCTGACTTTACACTCAGTTTTTAAGTTATTATTTTTAGTTATTAATGTTATTATTAATTCCAAGTTTATTCCAACTTGCGAGTTAAACGTTTATTACATTTGGCGAGCCATGTTATTATTTTCTACCACCTTTTAAGTTCACTTGCAAGGGGGGAACAATCCAGTCTTCTCCAGATACATGTGAGCTATAAAAGGGGACAAAATAACCGAACCAATTTTTGTTTTATTTTTTGTGAGCGTTTTCGGCAATACGTCCAGGGCCAGGACGTGCGGGATCCTACAGAGGCAACCAGAGTGAGACGCAGTTTGTAAGCCGGCCATCGCTTCTGGAGGATCGGAGATAGCCAGACCAAGGATTCAAAGTGGGGTGCACACCATTTGATTTGCCTGCAGTCTGAAGACACAAATCGTGTAAGTACTTTTGACTTTATTTTAAGAATGGAAATTGTAGCAGAATATGCAGCGTCTAGCAGTTTTGATCCACTAATGTTTGAAAATGAAAATGAATTTAAGAAAATGCATAGCATGTGGTTACAATGTGAAAAAGAGAACATGAGAGTAGATAATAAAAAATGGTGTTTGAATAAGGATAAACAGAAAATCCAAAATTGCATGAAATTGTTACTGTTATTAAGAAATCAATTAAATCGGATACTTCTGGGGCACACTACTGTGGCTTGTATACAAAGTAGTACTCAGAAATATAGTGATTGTCCAACTTGTGGCTTAAATGCAGAATATGTAAGTACATTAGAGGACAATTATGAAGCGAGAGGAGAGCTAATTTCATCGCTTAGCTGCACAAACCCCAGTTGCTGTATGTGGCCATGGGGATATGTGTGCAGAGGAAGAAGAGGCATCTGGTATTGCAGAAAATGAGGACCAAGAGGTAAACAGGGGAAACCTTGTACTGGATGGGTTTGATATTAGTGGTATTCCGGTATTAACCCCCCATATAACTAAACCAACAGCATCACCTTTTAGGGACCCTTTGTCCATTACACCGACTGTTAAAAGCAGGGCATCTGCCACCCTGCAGACTGCTAAAATTCTGCAGCAGCAAGATAGGGATAAAGTAATGAAACAGCTTGTTAAGTTAAGATCCCTTTTTCCCCCATATGACTGCAAAATAGATGTAATTTCGAATATGTCCAACTTTGAATCTGCAGTCAAACAATATATGCTCTCTCCTAAAGAGGCATGTATTATGCTTAAAATGTGGGCACCAAGCAGCATTGCATGCAGATTAAATTCCCCCATAAATGGGCCCATTAATCGGGATCAAGACTGGTTCAAAGAAGACAAATGGGGGACAGAAGGAGACAGGCTTAGAGCAATCTCCAAATTGATTACCGGAGAAAGAGATTTAGACAGTCATTTACTCGCTGAAATGAAGGTACACTTACAGGATGATCCTTGGCTTTTTGCATCTAAATTTGAACAAGTGTACAGATTAACCCACCGTATACCACAAGACCAAACCCCTCCTGATTTACTGCAATACCTGATAAAAAAATTCACTTATTTAGATCCCGGAGTGCAAATGATAGCAGAGGAAAAAGACACTCTGGAAGGAGTTCTAACTATTATAGGAAAAGCTAGACAAAATTTAATTAGGAAAGGTGTTACATTACACCACAAGGTGGCAATTATGGCTACTAATGAAGGGAGGCAAGCTCTCCCAGAGATTCCATTCAGAGGTACTTGTTATTATTGCAACAAAAGTGGTCATAGACAAAAAGATTGTAGAAAGGCAAAGATAGATCAAAGGATGACTGAGGGATGGCATGCTTATCCCTCTGGGCCTTTCAAAGAAAGAATAGGTCAAAATGTATATGAAAAGATTGACCGAAATAAACCCCCGGATAAAACAGGTCAGGGACGCCATTCTCACCCCCTGCCTAAGACCAATCTATACGGTCCTGCGCAGGAGGCTCTGAGAATGATGACTGTACAGGGAACAGTGACTAGCAATTCTAAAATGAATGAAGAGGGTGAAGTTCCTCTGATTTCATTTTTGGAATAACTATAACTGGATGGCATGGTTCCTATTTGTAACACATTTATGGACCATGCAGGACGCCCTTACGTGAATGAAATTATGGCAAGGCAACAGACTAAGAATTGGACTAACACAGGAGCTTCAGTGAGATTTACTGACCTATCACTAAGTCCCCCTTCTGGGGCAAAACAACAACATATGAATTTTTTTTTTAACTTAATTTTTGGGCTTAATTGAAAAATCCTGGAGTTAAGCTAAACACTTCAAAGGTTGCTCACACAAAAGGTAAAATTTTTGGGAGTAGCTATCACAGCTGCCCAATTAAAGAGTGATAGCAATCTTACAAGTCCCCAGACCTTTTAACAAACAATCCTTGAAGACATTTTTTGGGACTTGTACATTTTTCAAAGGAATTTGGCACACGCCCTATTTGTATCCATAGTGACATTGCTTATGCCACCAGATCAAACTGTCTGTCCCTATGGAATCTTGGGAAACTGGTTGAATGGGGACTAAAGCACCCCCTCCAGTCAGCAGTAAACACTCATTCAAAGGTACAATTGAATTTGTTAGCAAAGGAGGCTGTCTTAGATGGAGATCAATGGCATTTACATGTAAAAGACCCTGAGATACAACAAGCATGGGAGGAGCACTTCAGATGCAAAGAACTAATTACGGATAGCCAAGATTGTTGATCAAGGTTCAGAAGTGCCAGATTTAAAAGCAGAACTGAATAGGAATTCTAATCTTTCTCTTTTATTACAGAACCATCAAACACTTCAAAGTGGTCATTCTATAAAAGAAGGGTTGTTATGTTAAAGTATATCCATGCCCTAAGCAACAAAGGCCTGTGCATCAGAGAGTGCCAGTTGCAGACATTTCATAGGTGCACTTACACTGTCCAAGGGGGGTCTCATATATGGCCCCAACAAATTGTAAAATTGTATCTACTCCTCAAACTCTGTTTAAGAAAGGGGGGGTAGGCGTAATAAAGATTAAACATTTTATCAAAATTATCCCTGGGATGCAAATTGGGAAGAGCCCTATGTAATCCTAGAAACATTGGGCAAAACATTTGTAAAAATGCAGAGGTCTATACAAGTCAGTCCATGTAGACCAACGTAAATTATATAAAGGGGCTTGTTCCCCAGGTACAGAGTTATCTGCTAAGAACTGATACGCCTTCTTGATCTCTTACAGATTTTTCCAAAAGTACCGAGACATGGATGTCACTCAACATGCTAAAACTCACCTGGAAAGTGATGGAACAGCTTGTCACAGGCCAAAGCAACAACAGCTGTATCTATGCAAAGGCAGCTCGATCTACCAAAGACTTAACAGAGGACAGCAGTGACAATCTACAAGTCCATATGTAGATGTGACATTTAATTTTGGGTGGGCGGTCAAGATTGTTTGGTTAAAGCGACATGATTCTTTCAAGGGATTTTGGAAAAGACAATAAGGGAAATTAAGAACATTGGGAATGTTTATGGACTGGTTGAGGAAAATGGGAATGTATATGGACTGGTTGGGGAAAATGGGTTGTAGATATGGAGGGAGGAAATATTAATATGAAATGAAATGTTATGAAATGTTACTAACCCTAGTTATAATGTTAACAGCAATCTTAGAGAGTATCATATAACACTAATTATAGTGGATACATTAATCATAAAGGGGATAAATTGGGGAACAGTAAGACACAATAAGGGTGGGGAAGTGAAGGTCTTGTTGAATGTAGAGGAAGAGATAGAGCCTATATTCCTGACTCCTCCTTTCACCTATATTCACACAACTCCTTCACTAATGGATAATGGGAGCAGACCTGAGTGTCAGAAGATTAGAGAGGTCTCTAGTGGTAATTTCCAAATATGTTCACTGAGACCTACCCCTATAGTTAGGAATGTTACTTACCAATTGATTCGACTAACAGATTGGCTAGTTTCATCACACTTTCAGAACTGTTCTAGGGTCACATCCACTATTAATAAGGTTTTAGTCAGATGGGTGACAAGAAGTAGAACTAGGAATAGGAGGGTTGTCTTGGGTACGGTTCTGGGAGGTGTGGGTACTGGGTTGGGTTTTGTAAATATAATTGATATATATAGTATGACTGCAACACTCCAGTCTGAGGGTGTTAAATTCAGAGAACTATCAATACTTTAATGGAGGATTGGACACAGAAGGATCAACAAACCTGTGCTGAGTTCTTTCATCAACAACAAGAACTTTAACTAACTGAACATTTATTTACTGACATGGCTAGTACTACCTGGTGGAAGAAATAAAAAAAAAACTCACTTCCGAAACCAATCATCATGGGGTACTGCCATGGAAAATGTATTAATTCACCCATTTATTATTGTATTGTGTGTTTTCTATAGTATGCATTTTTAATCAGGTTGGTATGTGTTGTTACTTGAAGTCATTGATTGTTAGAGTATATCATCTCCAATATGATATGTAAATGGAAAGAGCTCTATTGTGACAATGGGTTGTGCATTCACATAAGTAGATACACTGCAGGATGCATTATCTCTCTCTCTTATCTCTGGTGGGTTTTATAGAGTCTAAGTGTCTCATCCACTTCATTGCCAATAGGAGGGATGTAATAAGTGGGGGGATGTGATTAACAGCCAAACTGTATGCCAATGAAGTGTTATTGTGTTCTAATACAGGGATTCAAGCCCCCATTCTACCCTTAGGCAATAATGGAGTCCTCTGTGAAGCACATGGCCTTTCACAAGGCAAAATCAGTTGGGTTGTTGATAAACTCCTCCTCCATTCCCTTCCAATGCAATCCCCCTTCCCCCAGGAGGCACTCTGGTTCTGTTACATCCTAAGGGATTGACTAAGGGAGGTGTGTCCAGCAGAAGGAGGGGCTAACCTGTTTAAAGCCTTGTGAATAGCACATTTTCTCTCTCTTTGAATTACCTCTCTTCACCTTCTCTCTCCTCTCTCCCCTCTCCCCACTATACACACCCTCTCTCTCTTACTCTCAGCTGCTGATCAATGGAGTGGTAACTGTATCACGTGTCTATGCCTGTTTTACTATGATAATTTAGCCTACTTTCCATTCAGTCAATGATTAGTTTTAGTAGCAACATATACTAGCCTATTTCAAATGTATATGTATTGTTTATTTGTTTGATTAAGCCTTTATTAATAAATATTATTGGATTGCCGAAAGCAAGGAGTGTGGACTCTGACTTTACACTCAGTTTTTAAGTTATTATTTTTAGTTATTAATGTTATTATTAATTCCAAGTTTATTCCAACTTGCGAGTTAAACGTTTATTACAACTTGAAAACTTGTTTCATTATGAACTGCAAATCAACCAAACGTGGGCTAGTTCATTTTGATTCTGAATTCCACCAGCAGTGCCAAAAATAGAAATGGGAAAAAAGGAGGATTGATGGCTAGGGAACAGTCACTACAGAACAAGTGAGAAGTGAACAATTGAATAAAAAAGAAGGCGAAGCTGGAAAAATAATCTATATTTATATATTTAACAAATATATATATATTTTTTAAATTCTTTATTTTTGAGTGCAGAGTGAAATACACGTTTCAGCAGTGTTAACATTTTATCGCTTTGAATAATCATAGTTTGCTGAACTTTTTATTTTTTTTAATTTTTTTAAAACAAGTGTAATTGGAAAATACAAACAGGCTTATCATTAGTTTGAATAATGTCTAGTCCTAACTGGGGTTGTGTGCCGGCAACTATATAGTCTTGCTAGACATATGAGTATAAATTAAAATAAGAATTAAAGTAAATAAATTCAAGATAATACTGACTATACTGAGAAGAGTAGTGTAAAGCGCACCTTAATCAAGCCGGGCATGTGTTAGTGTTTCTACTGGCACGTAATCTAATAATCAAAATAGCCACTCCTTATACTGTGTGTAAACGTAAAATAAAGAGTAGCTAAGCAAAATAAGCGACAGTAAATAAGATGGCATATGGGATCCCCCTACCCCAAGACTTTTTCACTGATTGCAGGCCTGCGTTCAGTGTAGACTAAGGGGTCAGCCAACTCCCTTGGTCGGTTTACGGAGTCCAGAGGGGGGTTTCTTTCATTGTGAGCTGTTGAGGGCACATATAAAAGTCCAAAGCTTGAGATTCCACCATCTCCCTTGATCATTTGTTGTGGCAGATGGGGAGCATGTGTCTGCAGGTGTATTGCAGTTCTTCCCATCTGTGGCATAAGGAGTGTGGCCCTCTGCTGTTCCGGGCTTTGGGTTTTTGTTCTCCACTTCATAGAAACATAGAAACATAGAAACATAGAATGCGTGATAGAGGGAGTGGCTTCCCCTGTCGTTGTGGCAAAAGGAATGCCGTTCTCTGTTGATGCGGCTTACAGGGTGTGCTCTGTCGCTGCTGCCACAAACGTGGCAGATGAAGTGGGGTCAAGCCCTGGTTGACCTTCTGTTTGGTAAGGCCTGCAGGGAGGGGGGTAGGAGTCTGTTGGCAAGTGATGTCTTGAAAGGGTCTGCTCAGGCTTTGGTTTCTCTCCCATCAGACGTCTCCCTGGGGCAGCGGTGGGGTTGTTGCCAAGCGTTTCAACAGCCAAGCCCAAAAGTTTTAAAAGATTACATCCAAGTTCGGCAGGGTCACAGGCATCACTGCAGGTTGGTGTCAGGTTCTGTGCCATTGGTGAAGGTCCCTCTGCCATCCCGTAAGGATTAGGTGTCAGCAGGTTTATAGTGGGAGCTTTCCTTTGTAGCAGAAGGGGCAGTTTAGGACAGTCCAGCAGAAACTGGGATTATACAAACTAAAGTGCTCAGTGCAAAATTAAGGAAGGAGTAGTACTGGTGCTCTAGCTCCCAAAATTTACACCAATTTTAAATTTTGGGAGCTAGAGCACCAATACTACTCCTTCCTTAATTTTGCGCTGAGCACTTTAGTTTGTATTGTATATTTTATTGTTGGTGGAATTTAAGTGATTAACTCCACAGTGTTCTTGGCTGCATGCTGTTTTAGCACCCACACTATTACACTGTTTTTAGTATACTAGGGACTGAGATAACCCGCACCAGTCCAGGGTGGGGGGAGGAGAGAGTGGAGGCGACCTGCACAGCAAACTCGAAAATGGGGAAATCGGACGACTTTCCCCAGCACAGCTGCCAGCAGGTCTCAGCGTGTCTTACATAGTTACATAGTTACATAGTTGCATAGCTGAAAAGAGACTTGCGTCCATCAACTTCAGCCTACCAAGTCTTTGCGGTTTCCTTTCGACAAAGGTACCCGTGTAACGTGTCGGTGGATTCTACACAGCACCGCTGGTTCAGTAAGCAGATAAATCTAATTAAATTGTGGTAAGCAGAGATTTCCTCCGAAAATAGAGGAGATTAGCGGGAGCTCGCTCAGTACACGTTTAGTCAGCATGAGGTTCAGGCTCCGCTCCCCAACAAATATATATCTAATATATAAATGTAGATTTTTTTTATTGCTCCTTCTCTTCTTCTCTGTATTGGCTACTTATTCTCACTTGATCTTACTTTCTCGCTGTGAACCAAATGGCGGAAAAATATGCCTATTAGCGTACTGCAAAATGTATACAAATTATTTATATTATATACTTTGCAGTAAACTGATTGGCTAATTTTAATGTCTTTTGGTTCATTTAATTTTCAGAAATTTTCTTTGTTAATGAAACTCCCATATTGCCATATTCGGCAACCCAAATATCTTTAAATTTTGGCAGAAGTGATTTAGCTGAAACAAATCTTTGTCATGCACAAGTCTAATATTTAACATGTTTTCTTACTTTGTTTAGTAGATTGTAAATCTCAAATCCCTTGTAGGAAAGAATATATTAAAGTCACGCCATTAGAAACATGCCATTTTAAATATGGGAGTAATTTGAAACTTAAAACAAGTATTTTAAAAGACTTATGTAATGTATATTTTCAAGTAGGACAAGTCTGGAACATTAATTAACTTCCATGATAATATAAAATGGGACTCAATCTGGGACAGGAGTCACATATTACAATATTTAATGAATTGTAAGAGGAAACAGAAATACAGCCCGAGAAACTATTTATCAATTTGGAAAAAAGAGACCACCCGATGATGAAATAACAATTTGACAAAGTATGTGTCACAAACTTAACTTTACTCGGCACCGCACTGCTCCTCTCCTTGGGCCGCGCGGCCCGAATACTCCATGTGGCAGCTCGGCATGAATAGAATGCTTACTTTTAGTCCTGTGAATGGCTCTCTCTGCTGGTTCACGGGACAAATTGTACCCCTAGAAATAAATTTCAATTAAGCCATGACATCATTACCTTAAAGGGACCACGTCGTCTAGGTGACCCAATGCTGTTTGGGCTCACAGAGATGACGTGGGCCAATGAGAACTCGTGTGAACCTATTTAAGGCTTGTTTTAGCCTCCATTCATTGACCTATTGTGATTTCTGTATAGACCCTCGCTTTGTGCTCCTAGTGATTCCCTAGTGATTTTCAGAATCAATGGATTTCGTATTTGTGAATGACATATAAGAACAACTTTTTCACTTGGGAAAATTGTAGCATAATTGTATTGAGATTGAGGAAGGTACAGCAATATTACAAATGAATAAAAAAACAGCTCAAGTACTTGACCTAGTATATAAAATCTACTGCTTACTTATTATAGAGCTGGATATAAAACAGTAAATTGCAAAGCTATTAAAGTATACGCTTGATTACGATTGTTATTACAATTACTAAAGTGGAAAATGCATGTTTTTTTTTTAGCAACACATTGGTTACTATTACATGTGGTCTATGAAAATAAATGTATTTTAATATAAACATCAATCTCTAAGAAAAAAGTATATTGGGACTGTTACTAGTGACATCACTATTGAATATTAGGCATTTCTTTTTTAATAAAAAATTATTCATCGATGAGAGTTATTTTTACCTAAAACCCTACCCTCAGCAAGCTGTACAGAGGTTCTCTACAAATCTGCAGTGTAAGGCTTTTAGTTGAAAACTAGTGCTATATATAAAGTTTGTAGATCAAAAAACTTAGATATATAAAACAAAGATTGAA